CATATCACAGATAATACTTTTTCCACACCGATATACAGAGCCCAACCATTTGCAGCCCAATACGAATGTACCAAGCCCCTTTTAAATGGAAATAAACGGGAAATTACCTAATAAAAAAAATGTTAAATCAAATGAAAGAATATAATCTACAAATTATATAAATATTACCTGTGATAACTGAGTTCTAAAGGGACCAAAGGACACTGCTAGGACGGTCAGGATGATAAGCCCAAGACTAAATAATCGTTTGAAGAATTTTCCATTGATCAGACAATATGATTTTAGTAACCAGACAGTGTATGCTGGTGCCACGTAAATATATAAATGTTTCAGGTTAAGTAAAATTGCAAACCACGCAGCACCTTGCAATACCGATATCTAGAAACAAACTGCTTTTTACTTTAAGTAAATTCCAGAATATATTGTAAAATTTACCTGTCTGTCAGTCTTTGAAACATTTGCCATTGATATCAACAGAATGCCAAGTAGAAAGCCATTATATTGGAAATGTATATGATCAACTATCAACAGTCCTATATTGCATAATGACAGAAATATGAAAATTACATGGCTGTTCAAAGATTTACAAAATGTTCTTCCAGTTCTGCAAGAAAACATTTAGATTTTATATCGAACAAAATTCTCTATACATATCCTAATATCTTTATAAAATATAAATATCTTTAATCAAATTCCTTTTCTTTTTTAGCAATATTCTTTATTTCAAATTAAAGATATAATTAATTACAGTGAATTTAATAGATATACTTACTCTCTCACTCCATATGCAAGTATCAGATCAGTAAATATAACTGTGCCTCTTTGGAAATATATAGTAGCTGGCGAGGCATAATTTAAATTTTCCACCCTGAGCATCTCCGAATCAAAAATTGCAGCAACTTGGCTGAGGCAGTATTCGAACCATGCGAACAGAGGCGGATAGTCAAGAGTCCATGGAGATTGAGCATTCACATACCATTCTTCAATAGGTAGACTGTTTGTGATAGCTAGCCAATTACGATGTACTTCAAAATCGGTAGAACGACTGCAAGTTTGAAAAATAAATATAAATCTCTGAAATAAACAGTAATTAAACAATCTTGATATGAATAAATCAATAGAAAAACTATCCAAAAACTCGCTTACTAAGTAGGAATTAGGAGAATCTTAATACAGGTAATCAGAAGAAACGTCTTCAACAGCGCACTATCTGCATCCTTCCAAAAAGATGAAGAGGAGAATGAAGAAGAGGTGACTTTTTCATCCTGATGCGCTCGTTCTTCTGTCAAAACGTCCTTTCCGTCAGTGGGCATTTTAAACTCAACTTCGTCGTTCCTCAGTTATCTCGCGATAAGTCTCGATGCATTCCGCAATTAACGTCTCAAAAAACAGACATTCGGCAAAGGTATGATGTACGTGTCGATCGTGTACAAACACATGCAATGAGGTTAGGACGTGCGTGGCGCGCGATTAGGTTATGTCAGGTCGCCAAACGAGCGCGACACGGTATATTGTGTCTGCAGACGCGGAGCTGTCGAATTATGACAATCGTTCCTGGATTGCCATCGGTTCTATGGAGGGCTGTGCATCTCACTCGGAACTTCAGTTGGGATCGCGTGACACGTGACATTTGGAGGTTCGGCCAGTACCGAGGGTACGGTAGGAGGTTCGAGGAACTCGACAATACCGTGAAGAAGCCGCGGCCAAAGACGGTGCCAGTGCCAAAGATCACCCTCGTGTCACCGGATAACTCGATCACCGTGACTGTATTGGAGGAAGCCCAACGTTTGGCGAAGCGGCGGAACTTCACCCTCGTCAAGGTCAGTGACCTTGAGAACAAGACGCAGCGACCGCTTTACAAGCTGGTGAATAGCACCGACATCCTCGAGAAAACCGACACTATTGAAGCGACTCAAGATGCTGACGAAACTATACAAATCAAATCGAATAAATATACTAAATTGCTCTATGTGTCTGCGAAAATTGCTGAGCATGATCTACGAACAAAGATGAAGAACTTGGTGAAGCTTTTGATTAAGGGGTACAAGACGAAAGTCATCATCACTTTGGATGGCGTCGAAGGGGTAAGTTTCTTGAATTTTTCTATCACTATACTCTATACAAGTTGATCAGCAGTAAGATATAATTAGTAAGAAAAATTAACAAATAAAAATACATGGAAAGCATTACATAGTTACATAGTTAATTCGTAATTATATATGTATAATCCAATAAAAGCTAATTTTTTTTTAATGCCTTAAATGTGATAAGATCAAATATGATAAGAGTAATGTTAAGATTCCTGACAAGAGGTATGATTATTTAATAATACATGTTTTTTTATTTGAGGATAAGACGCAAAAAATTATAAAGGATGCTGTAAAAAATAATGGTAATGTCCAACAAATGCCATCAAAGAAGAATACTATTTTTCTCTTGATAACTCCTTTACAGAAGAATGAAGATGTTTCTGTGAATAATACAAAAAAAACTTGCAATTCTAGTATATAGTATTTAAAAAAATAGTATGTAGGATTTGTTGAACATGGACACATGATGGAATTTATCATTATTATTAATATACAACAAAAAATAAATTATGTGTATATAAATCTGTATAACAATAAATATGAATACATTTATAATTATATTTATTTTGAATATATTACGATTTTATAAAAGAATAACATATGTGAATAACTTCTTTTTATATTTTTGAGGATTATTAAAGACAATTTCATGTTAATAAAAATTTCCCATTATACGTTAAACATATAGTATAAAAATATGTTTTTATTTTCTTGCGCATTAATAAAAATGTATATATTTTATTTGCGGATTAATAACGCGATATTATAACACAAATGCCTAACTTAAAACACTTATAAAAAAACATAAAATTATATTGACATCATATATTTTATCAGATTTTATCTCCCTAAGCAATTCCTTTCGAATATATTTTACCTTCTTCCCGAGACAATAGAAAATCCGTTCATTGCAATACTTATTGCTATGATTGTTGAATTATGTTACAAAAACCTGCAAAGAAATTCGTTAGAGTCAATATATAAATGTATAATTAATTTTTCACAAATTACATTAATCCTTGAATGTTTGAAATTGGAAACTGTGGGAAACATACAACATTATTATACAAATATCTGAAATGAAATATGAATATGCTTCATGTTTTGACAACAAACATTCAAAAAGTTAAAAACGTAATATCAACACTAATAGTACACGATCCAAAATTAATAAAAAGAATTTTATTAATAAACCTTTTCGTTACACTTTAAATAAATATACTTTTATTTTCCTAAATATTAATAAAGGTATATAAAATAATTTAATGGTTATATTAATTATATTTATAAATTTATAAATTATAAGATTAACAAATTTATTTATAAGTTTTAATGCTTATAATAAGAATAATGTTGATATTGTGTAGTTCATTTAAAAAATTATTTTGCTAATGTCATGAAATAGATATCATCTTTAATTAATAACAGTATCTTTCCTGAGAAAGTTGCAATCGCTGTAAAATTGATAAAACATAAAACAGATTTCTTCATTTTGGATTTTATGCGATATAAATCCGTTATTTAGTTTAGACATAAAATTCTAATTATATGATTTTAGTTGATAATTTTTTTCATTAAGATGTGAAAGGGTTGTAACGAGCGCAAAGCAACTCAAACTACTCAAAGCAAAAGAATTAAGATCACCGATCCAACTAACAATATCATGCAAGTTAATAATATTTGATATAAAAAATACAGAAGTAGCTAACGGTACTATTGCTTATTAAAGCTGTCAATATGTAAAAATGAATCCTTCAACTTAATTAAAATAATAAAATAATATGAATGTAAATACATGTATATACATATGTATACATTTATATTTATTTTGTATATATATTATAACGATTTTACAAAAGAATAAAGAATAATATAAATTTTTTTTGTACCATATTCTACAATTTCATTATTGTCAATGAAGAGAATTCCATATTAATAAAACTTCCCGTTATATATTGAACAAATGGCTTACTATCTACGGAACTACTGATATGTCTACGTCGCATTTTACAATTGTATTTTAAAATATCGTGGTTCTCAGTTTTCAACTGAAGCTGTTACAAACTTTGGTCTTATAATGAGATCTGTAATGTGTAATAAATGCTACAAATATGACGATACCTATGTACGTATAAATAAATATCCGTGTTACAAATGACCGTTCCTATTATTATTCGCGCTAAAAAAGGAGCCACTTAATATTGATATAATTGTATTGCAATACACTCTGTTTTCACTTTCATTAATAGATAACTATCATTAATAGATTACAAACAATTTGCCATTTACGAAGAGCTATACGGCTGTCCTACATTATCGTGTTACAAGTATAATAATTGCACAAATTCTAATGTTTTTTTTTTCTAAATACACACAACTGACGTATTGGAATGCAAATCCATTTTCTTTTACTTAATACCACGTTGAACAACGTCACGTAGCTTTAAGTCAAATTTCGTATGAAATTTGTTATTAAATAATACAGCATTGATAGGTGTCGCGAAATAACGCGTGTGACTTTTCTGTGCGTAATAAATTACACTGGAGGACAGAAATTGAATCAATCGACATGATAATATGGAAAGAAGTAATTCCAAAAGTTGGTTTTTTTTCATTGCAGCCGTTTTTAGGAGAGAAACATTTTAATTTCTATTCTTTAGAAAATAATTAACAAATAACAAATAAAGTAACAAATTAAGTAATGCATCTTAAGTACTATAGTTAAGTATTGGTTCAGATTGTTTGTATCACAAGATGGATATTCAGTTTTTGTACAAATCATTCAAGATCTATATTAAAATTTTTTTTTTTC